GATGCTGCGTTTTAAATATAAAAGGGTTTGAGGGTGCCTGGCTGGCTTACTCAGTATAGCATGCGACTCTTGATCTTGGGGTTGTGAGTTCAGGGTAGGGTTTCCTTAAAAAAAAAATGAATATGAAAGTGTTTTTGACATCACCTCACCCCAAAGAACTCAGTTAATTAGGTGATGGCATTGCCTAGGATTTTGTCAGCCACCTGCTTCTCTTTCTTTTCCATGCACTCTCATTGTGGTTAATCTTCTCTCAAGTCTTTTGCTGCAGAAAGTGCATGCTTACTGCGCGAAAGTTCTCATCTCCCTCCGTTCCTACTTCCTTCAACTCCAGATTTGAAGCTCTCACTTCCTGTGGACCAGGATTTCTCAACTTTTGCATTACTGGCATTTTTAGGGGGTTCATTCTTCCTTGTCGGGGCTGTCCTGGACATTTTAGGGTGCTTAGCAGCACCCCATACCCTACCTACTAGAGGCTTGTGATGCCCCTCTTCCCCAATGTTAAAACCCAGAGTGTCTGTAGACATTTCTAAACGTGCCCCGTGGGTGGCAGGAGGGAAGGTGCAAAATTGACCCTGGTAGAGAACAACTCTTCTAGACTTTTCTCCTTCAGTGCCCTGTAAGCTCTTCAGACTTACCATATCCCTCACTTGAATATATTATGTCCCTTATCCATTTTGTTCCTTTTCTTTATTCTCTATATTTGCGGCATCAACAATCACCTGGACACTGAAGCCATAAAGTTTAAATTAATCATGGATTCTACTCCTCCCACCCACCAGGTTATCCAGCTATCAAGTCATTTCTGCATTGTTTCTGAAATCCATACCTCCCCTTGGTCTCGATCCCTCTGCGCCTGTGTGACCTCTGCACAGGTTCTCATTGTCCCTTCCTCAGATTATTGTTTTTCCACTACCATTTCCCTCTCTTGACCACTACCCCTCTTTCTTTCATTCTGTTCCCCACATTGCCACCCCAGATTTCTTTCTAAGGTACAGCTATGATCCTGATGCCTTCTGACTCAGCTTTAATTGGCTCTTCCTGTTCCACAGAAGAAATGGTCTAGACTTCTTATCTTGATAACTATGGCTCTCTTATTATGACTCTTTCAACACAAACTTCTATAACGCCAGTCAAATGCTGTAAATGAGGAAGGGCAGGGAGCATGAGTCCAAAAGGCAGTTCTGAGGATTCGGTGACTTTGGTGAGCTCTTGTCCAGGCTAAAAACACCTGGGTACTGAATTTAGCCTCACACTTCAAAGCTTTTCTTGCAGTTTTTCTTCACATTTTTCTGAAGGTCCTCCACCTTCAGGATTCCTTGTCAAACATTTGTTTGTTATGGCTCATTTCGGATGGTACTTTCCATTAAATTCTCCTTCACACTCTTCCCTCTGTAGGTGAAGGGGGCCTTTCCTTGGTCTCAGTTCTCCCTCTGTGTGGTCTGTTCTTAGTTCTGGTCTGCCACGTGTATGTTGTGATTGTGTGTCTTCTCTTCCTCACCAGCTCATACGCCTCTTGTGGGCAGAAGAACCAGAGTTTGTTCACCTTCTCATTCCCTCCAATGTACAGAGTCTTCAATGATTCCCAGCTAAGTGTCTGTTAACCTCAATGGCTGAGGTCACCCGGGAGGCTCGTGACAGTCCGTAGAATCTACATCTTCTGATGCGCATTTCAGCTGTTCTTATCATCAAACTCACTTACTTCTCATTCATTACCACTCATCAGTTCCTGGCTTTGTCCCCTAAAGACTACACAGAAATTAATATCCATCTATTTTGAAAGGATTTTGTAAAATTACTAAATACGCTTACGCTTCTGCTTATACTCCATCAACCTGTTCTGGGACTTCTAAATTCCAAATGGGGATAAGCTTATTGTCATTTTCTCCCATAACTAGACCCGCTATCCAGTAAACTCAAGATCTTAATGCATTTAAATACACTCAGGCACATCTTGGTAATCAGAAGAGTATATAAATAAATGTAAATTATATAAATAATATAAAATATAAAAAATAAAATATGATATATGCTATAAAATTTTCTACACTTTTCTAATTAACATGCACCTAAATATTATGAAGTTTCAGTATTATTAAATTAGCCTGTGTGTTGGAGTGATGGCTCCCTCTGATGACATTGATCTGTGCATCACAGTAAAAAATATGTGATGAGGAGCCCATTTGATGTTTCATACATCTGCAAGATGGTTTTGAGTGACAGCTGAGAACACAGTGTATATTTTTACCTGCAGGCTCCTAACCCTTTTGATAACATTCACCTCTCTGATTAGTATACATCACTCCGATCTCCCCATTGCTCTTTTCCCATCGTGGTGCACGCAGCAAACATTTTTTGTGACAAAATGAGGAAGTCCCTAAATTTCAAAGCTGTTTGACAGCGGGTAAGCACAAAACGAGTCTTAGCTTCCTCCTTTCAGTGTTTGCTCCGGCTCTGCGACACTACCTGGGAAAAGCCAGCCGCCTCCATAGGCTGTTTACATCTGCATACAAACAGGGAAAAGGGAAAGCCAGAAGTCCCACACAGTCCAGTCACCCATTGTTAACCAGAGACGGGGTTTATCTGTGATTGATTGCGATGGTGTCCTGTTCTCTCAAACCTTGTGCCTTGCAAGGCCATCAGGAGGATAAAATTTACCGCAGTCTTTCCTTGTAATTACTCAGATGTTAGTACTGGCAAATGGGGGTTTAGCGATTACAGGAGTATAAAAACCTGCTGGGTTGCCATCCCACATTTGTGAACAGCAGACATATTTCCTATCTTGCAT